CACAATCTCACTCACCTACCTTACAAGGCATGGTGCCCCATTTGTGTGGCGAACAAAGGAAAAGAATCTCCACACAAAAGTCTCTTCAAAAAGAATGACGACCCAGGAAGCTCTATGCCAACTATATGCCTGGACTTCTGTTTTACTACCACCTCTTTGAGCAAGGAACAGGCAGCGATTGTCCTCATCGCTGTTGACTCTTGGTCCAGGACAGTCGCCGCTGTCCCTACAAGCCAGAAAGGCCGTGGACTCATCGACTACATGGCTGATGCAGTGGTGAGTATGGCGTCTCAGCTGCAGTACAGCAACATCATCCTGAAGGGCGACAACGAGAACACCATGCAGACCCTCAAGGCAGCAGTACAAAGGAAAAGAACAGCACAAGGAATGGGCACTCACCTGCAGGACAGCGTCACAGGACAACACCAGACAAATGGGATCGCAGAGAGGATGATTCAGACAGTTCGAAGGCAAGCTCTTTGCCATGTTCAGATGCTGCAGGAAAAGGCTTGTCTAGGAATCAGTCACCAGGAAGCAATTTTCGCATGGGCCTTTCGCCATGCAGCATGGTGTCTTAACAGGTTCCACACCTGTTCTGCCACAGGAATGACGACGCACGAATTCTCCACAGGAAAGCCTTGGAAAGGAAGTTTGGTTGAGTTCGGCGAGACTTTGCTTTGCCATGTCGTCCCAGGAACCACCTCTCGCAGGAAAGGAGACGCTCAGTGGTGCAAAGGAACATTCTTGGGAAAGACCGAGAACAACCTGTACTTGGTCTACACGCAGTCAGGACTCAGAGCCTGCCGCAGCGCGAAAAGAATAGCAGGACACTTTGACAAGGACCTGATCGCCAGCATGACGATCAACCCTTGGGACGTCAAGCCTGCAACGTTGGGAACAAGAGTGCTACCAAGGAAAGTTCTACCTCAACCAGACGCGCGAGCACCACCGACTGTTTTGCCTATCCGCGGAGGCGGGGGTAATGCAGGAACCCCTGCAATCACCGCAGGAACTCCAGCTACACCAGGTCTACCACCAATACCTGTGCCAGCTCAACAAGGACCTCAGCAACTTCAAGGACCACAACCTCCAGCCGCAGCAGACGCTGAAGCAGAAGAGGAAGAGGAAGAAGGAGACGAAGCCAGGAATGGAGCAAGAAGAAGGAGAACTACCTCTAGTGGATGATGACACTCCACTTGAGAGCTTGAGGATCCCTTTGAGGAGAGAAGAAGGGCCAAACTTTGAAGAGGATGGCTCACCCTCAGAGTTTCAAAGAGCAAACAGGATCTTCACACACAATGACGAGGAAGCCTACGATGCTGAAGATGCAGAACAGTACGAAGAGCTCCAGTGGAACGATGGAAAAGATTGGGAATTTGTTTTTGGCGATGAAGATGCAGGACCACCTGAACTACCACCTCA